AGAATAAAAGGTAAAAAGACACAAATGACCTCCTGTAAAATATCTACAAAATATCTATAAGAAAACACTTTAATATTTAACGATGGTTTTCTTATACATAATCCAATTTTTCGGATAGTCAATGTGATTGGTAAAAGCTATAGAGAAATAGCGTTGTGGTCACCAGAGTATGGTTTCTTCGAGGACCTAATTGAATACAAAGAAATGAAGAAAGGAATTTTTGAGGGTTTGGAGGGGATACTTAGTTCAAATTACTGGCCGGCAGTGAGCAAACTGTTCCAAAAGGATGGACTTTAGCTGGTACAGAGAAACCTTTGAGGATAGGAATCCCAGCAAGGGGTGCTTTTAATCAGTTTGTTAATGTTGTGTTTGATCAGGACAGAAATGAAACTTTTATTAGTGGATTTTCAATTGATGTCTTTGAGGCTGCAGCGAAGCAACTACTTTATCGCCTCCCATATGTGTTTTTACCCTACTATGGTTCATATGATGAAATGGTGGCAGAAGTTCACAACAAGGTATTTCATTATAATGATGTACTTCAGATTAAAAATCATTTTTCAGAAATTTTAATGATTTTTTTTTCTTGTACATTGATGACATGTTAAGGACTGTACATTGCTGGGAAGTATTAAAGAAAATATAGTTAAACCTTATCTATTTTAACCATGGGCGGACCCGGGGGTTGTCCACCAACTTTTGATTTTTTTTTAATAAATAAAATCATGTTTGGTATCGATTGAAATATAAATTTTAATTTAAATCAAAGTTAACAATTAATTTTAATAACATATTTCATGGAATCCATAACTACTTGACTTTTATCAAAATTTATTAAAAAATTGATTTTAATATCCATCAAATATGGGCAAAATCACAGTAAATTTTAATTTTTCTCTTTTTCTCTCGACTTTTCGCCTTTTAACAAAATATTAACTCTCCATCAAACAATGGCGAAATATTGCATTCTTAATACAATTTCGAAGTGGTCACGGTCTAGTTTCCTATGTCGTTAATTAATGGCGTACGAAACGATCAATCGTAGCAAATGCTACGACTTGTCAAAGTAAGCGTTCAAAATTAATATTTCAAAAATTTCGAAGCAAACTGGGCTTCCTGCCCAGATGATAGGAGGTGAACAGCATGTTATTGCATTTATTTGGGTGAAAATATGGTTGNCAAATCTTATTTCGAGAACTACATTATACGCATATCAAATAAGCCAAATAGATATCGAAAATAGTTAAAAATGCGTTAAATGTGAGTTTTAAAGAAAGACGTTTAACTCACATTTTCTTTAAACAAAAAATTGTGCGTTGAATTAAAAATGGTTGCTGACAATGATATTGTCGCTTCTTTTAAACAACGAATTACTAACTAATTTTCAAGTAAAAGAGCCTGGATGCAGGTGTAGGTGACACAGAAATAATGGTGGATCGTTATGTTTATGCAGAATTTTCGCAGCCATATATCGAATCCGGGCTGGTAATGGTGGTGACAGTAAAACCAGGCGTGAAAGATAAAGGATTCGTTGTTGTAGATGCCTTCAAGAAAGAAATGTGGATTCAGATGGCGGCTATGAGCATGTCCTCAGTAGTTGATATATGGTTAATTAAATATGCTAACAACAACCCGGATATAACAGGATTATTCTGGCAGCTATTAAGTTCCATGCTATGATTTTGCAGCGTAACTGTTCTCTCTCTTGCACACAGTAAGTTTTCCCATGTCACATACAATGCATGTTATTACACGCCCCTTCACATGTAGATTAGATTCAGTTTTTCATAATTAGTCTGGCACGTCCATAATTTCTATAAATAGATCTTGAAATCAACTTTTGCAATGCTCTAATACCTCGTCTAAATCTTAATTCCAGTAAGTGATAGGTTGTTGATTTCAGGAGAAACGATCAGAAACAATCTATCTAGACTTGTTCTGGTAGCTTGGTTATGTGTAGTTGCAGCTGTAGCAGCATGTTTTATGCTATCCTGAGTTCCATGCTGACAGTCCCAAATCTCCAACAATCCATTCTAGAAGTCGACTATCTTCTGCAGATGAATGCTCCAGTCGGATGCAATGGGAATTCGTTCATTGTGCAATACCTGATTAATGTTTTGCAGTTCAAATCAGAGAATATTCGGAAAATCAATTCAATCAATGACTATCCTTCAGCTTTCGATAAGGGAGAAATCTTAGCAACATTTTTTGTCGCTCCATATGCTAAAGTATTCCTAGCGAAGTTCTGCAAAGGCTGTACCATGACATGGCCTGTCACGCCCCGTCCCAAACTCC